AAAAAAAAAGACAGTAGGCTAATTTGGGCATTTTTCGCTACGGAAAGGACGGTTTGCTCATGATACGCAGTGGAGTTTCTGAACTACATGATAGGAACCTGAACTTGGCCGTCAAGTTTCTATTTTTTGGCGCAGATACTTGAAGGCAAACATTTCCGAGATGCCCCTCATCATATGAAAAAGTCCTTATCAGTGAGCTTTCCTGTATCCTCTATCAATTAAGATCAATCAAAGACGCCGATGTACAAAGATTACTGCCGCGGCACTGTAGTCCATTTGAATTTGAATGAAGCCCAACGGTGTTAGATATTGACTGACATGATCGAATAATTTAATTACTCCTTGTATAAACCAGTCAACGAGTACCTATAGTGGACGAAATAGGGGAGTAAAACGCGAAATTCGGAGGTTGTGTGGCCTCACCAAAGGCTCTTTGTCCGGCGGCAACCACACACTCACTCAAAACCTAGCCTAACACCCTAGTTTCAAGCTTTATGCAAGATTCGCTGGTACCTAGTTCGATTCGCTGGTACCCAGTTCGAATCGCTGGTGCCACCCGTTCGCACCAAATCGTTGAGTGAGCGATCAGAGGCTGAGGTGCGAGCGATTCCTAACCGATTCGCCGATTCGCTAGCGATTTCGAATCAAATAAACGACAGCGAAGTTCGTACTAGCGAAATGTCGCTCCGAGCTCGAAAGCGAAATCGCTAGCCTCTACTATCGCATCGAATATATCGCTCAAGTATCGACGTCCGCCGTTATGAGGTCAAACATCCAATGGCCACACTATTCAAGTACGAGTTCTTAACAGTTTTCTCGTTTCACTCTATGACACGATCTTAAGAATGAGTATATTCCTGCGTCATTGTTCGTGCTGCCGTCTTCTTCCTATCCTCATTATCGAGCGACTCCGTTATGTGCGCGTATCTATCAGAAACCTCGGACTCAATCGGCCAGTATGACACTAACGAAAGCATAGCCAAACAAGGCACTTCTCTCCTACTTGACCAAACTCTTCTCTTGAAACGCCAACGCATACCCCACCACTCGCAGACGTCGCCGATCCTAACTCGCGAGCTCACGCCCATTGGCCTTCTCAATCAACTGGACGGGTTGCTTGCGAGTCATAGTTGAGCATGTTGCTAGCACATCTGAGAGTTGCCGTGAACCGCAGCACCTTGAGCAGGGTCAACCGTCACCGTGCGTTGACAGATTTCAAAATTTTGCAATCTCCCCTTCTTCGTAGGGCCTCAATAGGACCCTCCCCCGATGGGAGCACCTCATCTGTATTAGTTTCGCTGACACATTATACTATAGTATTTGATTCCGAGACCAGTTGACACAGCCCAGGGGGAGGGGGGCTATATATCATGAAACGGCAAATTTTTTCTTAGCACTCACAAAGCGTAAAGCATCACACTACGACCCCCCTTGGTGTAGGATTGACGCTGCCTCCGACCTTGCGAATACGACCCCCCTCGTTGAACTTTGTCCAACGGACGGTTGACCCTGCCTAGGAGTCGAAGTCAGTTGCTTATGATCCTGATAAGCTGGACATTTCCGACCAATGGTTGAGAGCTTCCTTCGTTCCGAACATAATCCACTAATGAACAACAATAGAAAACAAACGTCACCTCAACTTGGCCCAGCCCTGGCGATCTCTAGAAACGGGTGAGCATACTGCACGTAGTAAACTCAGTTTATTAGAGGCAATCTGGCGGCAGCGTCCTCGTCATCCTGCAGTTAGTGGATGCTGCCAGTGAATTGCACCATTGTTCCATAGGATTGTGTCTAGAGGGCACCTAATGGCAGCTTGTGATCGATCGTGCTCATCAGATGTGGCGGAGGAGCATGCTAGCGATCAGCACAAGTGGAAGAGAATGCGCGGCTACTATTATGCTGTTCACAAGGGACATCACTGCGTCTTGTATTCAAGGGAGTGGAGCCCAGAACTTCCTTCCCAAAAAAGAGAAGATGCAAACTGGCTGATGTGGCTTTTATGTCTCGGCAGGAGGCGTAAAGCACTGCAGAATCTAGGCGAGCGGAGCCACAGGGTAGAAGTATGTGAACACCACTCGTTGCATGAGACTGACTGAGCCGAAATTGAGCTTGCAACCCCCTATCCATTCGTGCAGGTGCTGCTACCTCTTGCCCCTTCTATCCTTTGAAACCATTCATGACCACTATACATAATTGTTTCAATGAAAACGGATGTACGAGATGGATCGCCAGCGGCCAAAAAAATAGAAAACCACATAAAATACTGAAAGTAAAGGCGTACTTTTATTGGCGATAGACTTGTCTACGAGTAGAACCACACAAACCAGGAGGCATAGTGACGGAGGCGAAGGACCAGACTCACAGAAGGGAGCGGGGGGGGGTAGCCAATACTGAGGAGCACAGAGTGAAACCAAGTTCGTTGGTACGGTGGCCATGTCAAAGCGTCTGCCAGTTTACAAGTGAGAATGGCACATGTGCTTTTCTCGGTGGCTCTACACAGAAGAGATTACCACGCCTGACATCATTGCGGTATGCCTTTCCGAAAGGACTCTACCCCTAGTACAGTAAGGTGAATAAATGAAGATCATTACAAGAAAGAGATTGGAGAATTTGAACGTAGGTGTACAATCATATCAATGGAAGCTATATTCAGGGAAGCCAAGAAATATAGACGTCCTACTCAAAACGAAATTTATACAAGGGCGTTTGGATATTACATTTAATAAAGGGCTTGGCTCTTTCGATTACTTAAGGAATGTTGAAGAGATCGGGACACCTGAGTTATGGGGTGAGAAAATAAATTCATTTTAAAGGGGCTCTGTGAAATCAGACAGATTCTGCTCTGAACATCCTAAATATTTAGGAGATGATCCTGCAGTGAATGTCTTGAATAACACCGATATTGTCACGCTTGGTATGCCGAAACTGAGAAGGGTTTCTCAGGGCCGAAATGAGATCCTTGTGCGGATTCGCTATAACGAAAATCTCGAAATGAGCCATGAAGAAGCGTCCAATTTTGAAAAAGCAGCCGGAGGAGGTGACCATGTAGACCTCGAATTCCATCTACGTAAGTGAGATGACATATTCGATTGCCCTTAGTGCTTTCGTTATTTTCTATAGAGGAAATTTTCTGCCAGTTATTCTAAGCTTTTTGGGGCGGAAGTGGTGTAGTGGCAAGTGGCACGCTCCACGCGAGCGGTCCGGGGATCAAATCCTGGGTCGTGAGTCGCCCGGGCCAACCAAGCCTTCCATCCCTCCGGGGTCGGTTAATTGGTACCAGACTTGTCTGGGAGGATAAAACACTGGGCCACATCGCATTCAAACGCCACTACGAATGTACAAATGGAAGTAGAATGCGTGCCGCATCCCAAAAAGGGATTGATCAACGGCAAATGCTTTATCCTCTAATTTTTATGATATAATTGGAAAGGTTTGTCTGCTCACATCTGATATGGCTCCCTTTAACATTTGTTGCAGATTTTCAATGCCTGCAAAAAGGAGGTCCAGTCGACGAAAATAAGCCAAACCGATTACTAGCTGTAACCATATATCTGGGAGCCCCAAGGGCACACTGTCGGACCGTTCCTAGTATTTCAAATTTGCTTTTCTCGCCAGAGCTCGATGGCTAAGCACTAACTCTCCGAATCTAAACCACGGAATGAAGAAAATTTACGCAGTCGAAGAAAAGAAAAAACTGGAGATTGTTGGGAACATTTCAAGACTAGGTTTTGAGTGCATACCTCATTGATTTTACCGTCTTCTGAGCTACGTTTTTTTTTGAGAAATGTGGTCATCCCATCAGAGGAAGAAGTTTAGCTCAAGCACCGCTGTTGCTTAGCGATAGCCCAGAAAAATCAGTCTCGAAAGAACACGGCGAGGCTCTCCCGACAACTGGATAGCGGATGTTTGGAAGAAGTCGTGACTAATTAGTGGGTATACCACCTCGACTCCACCAAAGGAAAATAGAGTCAGTCAATTGGCCTAAAAGCCTAAATCAAGGTGTTTGCAAGGAATGTGGACGTGAAAGGAAAACATAGCTCTTTGTCTAGCAGATAAATCTCTTCGAATGGTATATGACATGATGTAAAAACTTGGGAGTTCAGCAGAAAGTTTTTATTGGGAAAACGCTACTACTTGTGGGACAACCTATTGCTTATAACATGCGGTGGGAGGTCGCTCTCATGGGAGCCTCCTTTCATGCTTCAAAATAGTGACGAGTCTTCACTTGCTATAGCTCCTGTTCCTCTTTGTTTTGCGTCTGGTAGCAGGGAGATGTTGTTTGAAGAATCAATGTGAAACAGTAAGTAGCAACATAAGAGCATTTCTGGTTAAAACAACAGGCCAAGCAGGGTTTCAACCATTCATCCTAAGGGGTGGAAACATGCACTAGCCCTAGTCAAGTACATAGGAAATGTCACTGATTTGAAAACTTACCTTTGAAAGGCGTTGGAAGGGGGTCTAACGCCGTCGAAGTGGGCGGATCCACCGAGCCTCGGTACGGCCGCCCACTTCTGTCGTGAAGAGTGCGTGATTGGCTGCGCAGACATTTGCGGTCGTTTCGGGACCACCGGGACTATTTGAGGTCGATCCTTTAAGCAATCGATGTGGTGATGCCGACTACGCTGGATTTCTACGTTTTTTCCTTCTACCTTCTACCTTCAAAACATAAAACGATTTCATTAGCGCCCCAATTGCAATTGCTGGCTACTTGCCATTTACTGCGGGCATGGTCAGACAACTCGTCTAACAAGCGTCTTCTTCCATTACTAAGTTAGGTGGCAGAGGGGGAGTCCCTGTCTAAGCCCCTGCTCGACGTCTTTCTTTTACTTTTTCTTCCATTATTGGTCAACTTTTTGGGTCTCATCCAGTAAGGCATTGTGATGCAGAGTGGCATTTTTAAGGTAATACGGAAAAAGGGAAACTTGAATTAGCCATATTGAAATATCTGCTTCCTCTTATCCTGCTTTTGGCTCTTCTGCTACTGTTGTTGTTGTTCATCCGGAACAAAAAGCGTTCAACGTCGACCTTGCCTCGGCCACCATT